ACTATTCGCTATTCGGGACTATTCACTATTCGGGACTATTCACTATTCGCTATTCATTTTTTCCAGACACCCTAAAAAATGAGTTTGTAATGGAAAACAACAACAAAACACCCTCGAACCCAAGTTTTGAACTTCCACTGTGTCCCTTGTTACAAGCAGAACTATATTAATTTACCTTCCTACACAGCACAAAGTTTATAAAGATGCTTCTTTTCGAGCCACAATGTTACAAAAGAACAGGGTTATCCTTTGATATTGATCTTCTAGCTACATATACATGTACATGAACATGTATTCTATCATGATTTTGGGAGAACTAGTTCAAATTTTCCTCTAGCATCCCATAATAGTGTAAAATTCCCCATCCCGGTACTAACCACTGATGTCAAAATTTTACAAATTCTCACCACATGGGGTCGGCTGGGAGTGGGGGGTGGGAAGTTGATTTGTCTTAATTTCATATTAAATTTTGATCAATACATAAATTGATACAGAATTACTTTCTTTCAAATTTTTGTCACATTTGGCGGCCATTGAGTGGATAATAATTATTTTAGAGCAATATACATGTAGGAAACATTTTCCAGGAAATATTAATTTCAAACTACTTGTTTCTTCAGTAAACAACAGCCTGCCAGTCCATTTGACAGCTTCAAATGTGCAGCAAAACCCAGAATTTGCAAAATTGTTGACATCTCTAACAAGGCATTTGACAGAAAATGGGATGTCAGCTGTAGTCCACAAAGACATGGCACAGGTTAGTGTTACCCACACCAGTTAAGCTGCAAGCAGGCCCTCTTCTTTCGGTTCTTACCCAGTTACATGTATGAGCAACCACAATTTACAAGCTGGGAAAGAGAGAAAGAAAACTGCGCTTTCTCTCACTTTGATCGCTGGCTTGTATGTACCAGAGTGTAACAAATTAGTAGTAGTAATGGCTTCTTTAAGAAAGTAAGCTTATTACATATACTCCCAAGATCTCTGACCATTATCAATTAAAAGTAAAACACTTAATACTACTAACATGAAAAGTGTATCAATATTTGTGCTTATTATATCTCAAAGTTACTATATGCACTGTGTTTAGTTAATTTAGCAGGCCATATTCTACTGTACAGCCAGCAAAAATTTAAAGGTGTGTTTATTTCCAAATGTCTCATGATTTATTGCCAACATGTTCGTAACTTTTTTAGCAAGCGAAAGTTTAAAACTTTGTTATTTTAAATTGTGTATTAACATGTGCTAACAACTTAACAATGATTTTGAATTGACACGTTTTGCTTTTGACATACAACAGAAATTTGAAGCCATTCTGCGTGAATAGAAATCGTTCCCAAACCCACAGACACAGAGTGGAAATATAAGAAATATCTTACTAACCTTGCCTTCTCGGTCTGTACTGTAAGTTACAGATCCTCATTTTTTTCCTTTCAATTTATGGCTGGCATGCTCCGCACTTGGTCCAAAAATCAAAAGGGCAAAAACTTGGTCCGTAACTTACAGTACAGACCTCGAACTTGTTTAGTTAGTGGTCTTTATTTTCTCAGAACTTTACTCTAACTTTCAAGATCTTTTAGCCTTCATTTCTTTCATGTTATTTTAATCAACAGGCTAGAGATGCACTAAGGGAACAAAAATTGAAGTACTTGCAGGTTCTGACATTGTACTCAGAACTAAAGGAGCTGCTGATAGAGTATGACATGAAAAAGCAAGAAGTTCATCCCAGTTCAATCACGCAACAGGTCAGAGGAGTAAAGAGAAGGCATTGATGAAGCACTAGTCATAATAATTAAATAAGGTGTTTTTGGATCCTAGTGAATCAGGAGGATGATGTTTGAACTAGTTGATAATTGATTAGTTTCTTATAGGCAAGTCAGGGGGAATGAATTAGGGAGCATCCCCTGTAAGGTTCCTGTCTTGTTCTGTAAAAGCTACATGTACATGTACAAAAATAATACTTGATTCATACCTTTAGCATTCCGTTAACAAGTGCTCCTTTGCATATAAAAACCTGAATTCACCCATGGTTGTGTAACACAAAGTAGCCTGACTTGTGTTGACAATTCCCCAGTATGCACTAGTACCTTAGGCTGAGAAGAG